GGTGGTGAGGAGGAGGAGGACGAGGAGGAGGATGAGGACGAGGAGGAAGGGAAGGAGGGGGGAGCTTCGCACCTCGCGCCTCAGACCTCGGCCTCAAGGGCTTGCCCAAGAAAGCGGAGCTTCGTTCGCGGCGGCTCCGCTGGCGGAGTCTCCTCCTCCTCCTCCTCCTCCTCCTCCTCCTCCTCCCCTCCTCCTCTTCTTTCTCTTTTTCTTTCTCCGCTTCTTCGGCGGAAGGCCGGCGGAAGGCCAGAAGACTGGCAGAAGTGAAACCAGGGCGGCTCCGCCGGTGGAAGCCGGCGGAAGTAAAAGATGTCCCCCTAGAGAAGGCAGCGTTCTTAGGTTCGGCGTTTCTGTAGCGGGCCACCCGGATCCAGCGTCTGTTTCGAGTGATGTGTGGCGCACTCTTGGATCCTCTGTGGCACTTGCCTGCTCGCTCATTTGCTTGTATGCTCCTGGGTTGCTGGCGGGGCTGCGGAGAGGAGCGCGCTTCGCGCGAAGACACGCGCGCGTCGCGCATCGCAGGGCGCGACGCGCGAAGTTGGGCGACCCAGAAGGATCGCCCTAAAGTTCCGTCGAGTGGGTGAGGTCCGACCATGCTTTCAGGGTGGATCCCGCCGTGGCAGCGAGGAGCCCCCTGGAGGCCCGACGCCGGCGAACAAAAATCCAGAGTGCGAAGCTGGGCGGCCTGCGGGCCAGGCACGTTTGCTTAGCGTGTCGCGCCGCCGGTTCTGGCTCACCGCGCTTCGGCGCGGCGCGCGAGCCACGCCGCGGTCCCCAAGCGTCAGCGTCAGCGTCCCGAATCTTTCGAAGCCTCCCGCCCGGGGAAGCGGAGCGACACGCTATCCGCTCGCAGGGCATGGTGTGTCGCCAGGGCCGCCGCCGCGACACGCTAAGCAGAAGTTCCCGACCGCAGATGATTCTGCTTTTCCAGGCGTTGGGGAGGTTGTTGACGGAGGTCGGGCGCGGTCCATTGGCCTCTCTTGGAAGCTCCTCTCGCTTCTGCCGGCCACCCTGGTGCCAGAGCACCGAGATCTCATGATATTCTGGATGGTTAAGAAGAGGAGGAGGATGAGGAAGAGGAGGAGGAGGAGGACGAGGGTGAATGACTAGGATGGGGGAGCGGGGGCTGAGGTGGTGGGGGGGTGGGGAGACCTTGCCGCTGTTCGCTCCTCGGCACCCTTGCGGGCTTCTCGGCTTTTCCGGTTTTGTTTTGCCCTTCTAGTTCCTGTTGTGCACGCCTTGCTCGTGCAATCAATGTGTGTTCGTGTGCGTGCTCTCCTTTTTTCCCAACCATCCTGTGGTGTTGGGCCCTCGTTTTGACAAGGCAGCGCCCCGCGTTCCTCACCTCACCTCCTTCCCCTCCCTCCTCCCACGCGTGCCTCTGCCCTCCGCATGCCGTCATCGCCAGTATCATCGTCATCATCATCCCCATCATCATCGCCATCCCCATCATCCACATCATTCTGATGATGATCAGCATCATCACCACCACCATCATCATCACCTCCATAATCATCAGCATCATCATCAATCCCATTAACAACAACATCATCAATCACCATCATAATCATCATCATAAGCATCATCATTATCATCATCATCATCATCATCACCATCATCGTCGCCATTGTCATCATAATCATAAGCATCGACGTCATCACTATCAGCATCATCATCGTCATCTATAGCATCATCCTCATGCACAGCATCATCACCAGCAGCATTGTCATCATACTCATCATCATCACCATCAGCAGCAGCAGCGTCATCATCGTCGCCTTCGTCGTCATCATCACCAGCAGCATCATTATCAACATTATCATTATCATCATCATCATCAGCACCATCATCAGCACCACCATCATCATCATCGTCATCATCATCATCATCATCATTATCATCATCATCATCATCATCATCATCATCATCATCATCATCATCATCATCATCATCATCATTAGCATCGTCGCCGTCGTCAGCAGCATCGTGCCTCTGCTCTCCGCATGTCCATTTCGGCACACCATTCACGGGCTTCTTGGCCCCATAGGGAGTTCCACCGAAACCCCCAGAGGCAGCGCCCGCACGGCACCACCGCACCCGCTTCTGCACACCCCTCATGCGTTTCGGGCCCTAAAGGGATCTCCATCAACGTCCCCAGTGGGAGCGTCCGCATGGCACCACCGCGCCCGTTTCGGTAACCCCTCCCACGTTTCGGGCCCCATATGGGAGCTCCACCTACTGCCCCAGTGGCAGCGCCCGTATGGCACCACAGCACACCCCTCACACGTTTCGTGACCCCATAGTGAGTTCCACCTGAGGCCCCAGTGGCAGCGCCCGCATGGCACCACGCACCCGTTTCGGCGCATCCCTCACGCGCTTCGTGGCCCCATGGGGAGTTCCACCCTAGGCCCCAGTGGCAGCGCCCGCGTGGCACCACCGCGCCCGTTTCGGTAACCCCTCACACGTTTCGTGGCCCCATATGTAGCTCCACCAAAGTCCCCAGTGAGAGCGCCCGCATGGCGCCACTGCACCCTTTTCGGCACACCCTCCCCCGCACGTTTCGTGGCCCCATCGGAAGCTCCACCGAAGGCCCCACTGGCAGCGCCCGCATGGCGCCACTGCACCCTTTTCGGCACACCCCTCACACAATCCGTGGCCCCCAGGAGCTCCATCGAAAGCGGTCGGTACCCACAACGCGGTACCCACAATTGCATATGGTTGGGTCTTTCACCAGAATATTGTTTCAGCTCGATCGTTAAGACACGGTGGTCGATTCGATCAATGCTGGTGTACATTACGGAACGAGCACGGGGAGGAGGAGAGGGACAAATGTATGGATGAGGAGGAGGAGGACGAGGAGGAGGAGGAGGAGGTGGCACGAATTGGAGGAGGGCGAAGCCTTCCGGAAATTAAGAGATCTGCACCTGCCCAACGTCGTCATATGACTTGCTTGTGCAGGGCCGCTCAGCGGCCGTTCTCGGCGCAGGCAGCCAGCAGTCGCGTGTAGTGCGTCATGCTGGCCGGGGTCTCACGTCCCCGCACTGCCAGTGCATGGCTGTCTGGCCACTCAGGGGTCAGGACAGTCTGGGCCGCTCAGTGGCCGTTCTCGGTGAGACTGCCAGCGGTCGCGTTCAGCGTGTCATTGCTGGTCCGGGGTGTCACGCACCCGCGCAGCCAGTGTGCGATCGACGAGCCATTCAGGGGGCTTGAAAATTTGGGCCGCTCAGTGGCCGTATCTGGCGCATTCATCCATCGGCGCATTAAGAGCGTTGGTTGGTCGGGGAGTCACGACCCCGCGCTGCCAGTGGATCTAAAGAAGATGTTCGCCTGTCAGTTGCGTCTGTCGGGCGCCTGCAGGCATGATCGTTTCTGCCGCGATGAGACGAGTCACGGGGGAGCGATGCTCGCTGCCCACCCACCCACCCAAGATCTGCAGTTCGATTTCCCATGTGCGCCTTTCATCTCGGACCCGCATTCCCGAGGCGTTGCCAGCACGGAGTGTTTCGGGGGATTCGCAGGGGGTGTAAGTTCTACCGGCCCCGTCCCTTTTGAGGTCGGAGATTTCAGGTTGCTCCCTCGATGCTGGGGGATTGAAATAGCATCCGACAGTTGATGGAAGGGCAGATAGGAGAAGAAGCAGGAGGAGGAGGAGGAGGAGGAGGAGGAGGAGGAGGAGGGGAGGGAGGAGGGGAGGGAGGGCGGACTCGCCTCGGCCTGCAGCGGCCCTTTTCCCCCCGAGGGATCTTTTAGGGCGCCAGGGTGCCGAGCGGACTGGCGCGGAGGCGATTCCCTTTGAGCGAGGCGTGGCATCACCGGACCACGAGATCTATGCATATCCACTGCTCCTGGCCAGGCCAATCCTGGGCCCAGGAGCGGTGTATACGCCCTCCTGGCCTGGCCAGGGAGGCATATGCACAGCTCCTGGGCCCATGGGCCTGGCCAGGAGCAGTGGATATGTATAGATCTCGTCGCCCTACCCGGGAGCGCAAAGATAACCGCACCTCGCGCGTTGCGGCCTGGGCTGGGGAGTTGCTCTTCTCCAGGAGGGGCGACGCGAGAGCGCGAGGGCGCGAAGTTCGCCACACCTCTCGCGCATCGTGGGGCGCGATGCGCGAAGTTCGGTGTCCTGTCTATTATCTCATGCAGCCCTGGAGCACGGCCGGCACCGCTCGCGTCGGGGCCTCCTTGTAGCCGTCATTGGACTGTTTTTCGGCCCGATCTTGAACGGCTCGCGCGGCGGCGAAAGCTGTAGCTGCGCTGCCCGCTTCCGAGCATCAGACGTGGACAGGGCCTGCTCGCGCCTTCGGACGGCGTCAAAGAGGATGGATGGAGAGAGGAGGCGAGAGGAGTAAGGGGAAAAAGATAATTCAGTAGAAGGGCAGGAGCAGGAGGCCTCGGCTGCAAGCGGTTAGCGGGATCTCGCATCCGGAGCCTGGTAGGGATGTTGCTTGCCGGGCCGCTGCTGGGGGGGTGGTCAGCCAGGGCGCCCGCGGGGGCACGAAGATAATCGCGCTCCGCGCGTCGTGGTCGGGACCCGCAGAGCTGCCCTCCTCCAGGGCGGCGGCGCGAGGGCGCGAAGACACGCGCGCGCGTCGCGCATCGCGGTGCGCGACACGCGAAGTTGGGTGACCCAGAAGGATCGCCCGAGAGTTCCGTCCAGGGGTAAGTTGCGGCCATAATCTCAGGATGAATCCAGCCGCAGCGACGAGGCGTCCTCCATGGCCAGGAAGTGTACGAAAACTATAGCGGGCGGTTTTGTTCCCCCCAGATTTCGAGCATCACTGGGTGAGGCCAAGCAGGCTACGTACGGCCGGCCTCGGCGCGCTTCCGAGGCTCTCATCGAGGGCACGGTCGAAGTCACTATTCGCGACGTCCTCGACGAGGCTTCCCCGGACAGCGGCGAAGCGCCGGCGCTGGCCACGCACGTCGTGGCGACCGTGGCCGCCGTTGTGGAGTCCGACAGGTCGGTCGACATGTGCTCAGACGTGGACCTGATCCCGGTCGTCGGCCGCCAGTAAATAAACTCGGGGGCGGAAAAGAGGGGGGTGATGACTAGGGGGGGGTGGATATCATGGCGCGGGCCATGATATTTCCCCAGATTTCATGGCGCCTCTTCTTATTTCATTACGTCCCTGGCCCCCCCGCTGGGCCGCGCACATGCCGCCGGTCATGATTTGCGCACCCCCCTCTTGGACACCCCCCTCTTGGCCGCTCCCGATAAACCCAGACCCCACGACGTCGTTGATAAAACATCCGGGCAGAGCTGTTTCGCAATTTCAGGCCTCCAGGGGGCCGTATTTTCTGCAATCAGAGATGGATCCGGGATGAAAAACGTTAGCCCTGGGGAAAAGGGGGTCGGGACTGTTGGGCCGGCGGATTGACATAAGCATCCATAGTATGTCGACCGTCAGCAACAACGGGGTCGAGGATTCAGGGCTGCTCTTCCGATGGAACCCTCCTTTACCAGAGTGCGCGGATCCTTCTTTCTCAGAGTGCGCTGATCGAGGGACAGAGAGGCATAAACATGAGCTTTCGGGGCTGGAAGGGTCTGGCGCCGACCCAAGAAGCCCGCGCGGGCCGAAGGTGGCATTCCCCAAGCAGTTTTTCCGTCGGCGGCGAGTCGGGGCAGTCCGCACCAGCGAAGAAAGGGCGAAGCAGGGGCACTACTGAGCTCATTGTTCAGCGTGCAAGAGCGGAAGGAGGACAACGGGGCCGCGGGCGGAAGGGGGCGAAGGAGGCGCTCATGGGCGGCAGAATTCCACCATGAGCGGGCTGGGGCGGCAGCAGCGGTGCAGCGGCGGCGACCAGGGGACCTGGGGGCGCGCGCCGGGCGGGTCAGGGCCGGAGGCGCGTGGCAGGGCAAGGGGAAGCTACAGGCGCCCAGGGACAGCCACGAGTAAAATGCTGTCAATCATGGTTCGTCAGATCGTGCGAGGCCAAGCGCACTCGTGCAACTGCAGAGCCAGCGGCTCGGCAGGGCGTCCAGGGCAGCGCGAGGGGCAGCAGCTGGGCCAGGGGCGCGGCTGCGAGCGCCTCAGGAGGCGGGGCGGCGGCGGGGCAGCATGCGGCTGGGGCGCGGGCCACCAGGGCAGAGACGGCCGCCCCTATAGCAGCGAGGGCCACTGCGGCGACCAAGGGCGCCAGGGCCCGAGGGCGGACTTCACCACAGAGTCGGGCCGGTCCGGGAAGCGGAGGGCGCGGAGCGGGGGAGGGCATATTGGGGTGAGGAGGGAGGCGGCAGCGAGGCGCGGCAGGAGGGCCGCGCCGAGGCAGCACGCACCTGATCGGCGCGGCAGGCCAGGGGAAACTGGGTCACGCACCGCCCCGACGGGCAGCGCGCGACCCAGGTATAGCGAGTCGCACGGCGCGGTGGCGGGGGGCGGCGGAGGCGGCGGGCGAGCGCAGCAGGGGAGCTGCGGCGGCGGGCGAGGGGAAGCCAGGTGCGCCGCCGAGCGCGAGAGCCAGGAGCGCCACATGTGAGGCGCAGGGCGAGCCAAGCGCATCAGTCGAGCCTGGCTTTCTTGCTCCAGCGTGGAGCGTGCTCTGGGCCCAGGCAGCGCAGAGGTCACGGCCGCGCTCCGACTCGACTTGAGCGCCCTGATTTCTGACGTCTCCGTCCTCGCAAGGTGGAGCCCGCTGGTTTCTATCACCGCCATCGCCGCCCGAACCACTGAGCGTGGCAATCATTCGTGGACGCAGGACCCCGTGGCTTTCGGAGCGGCCTGGAGGGGCCGCCTCGTGACCGGAGGGTTGTCCAGGTGCGAGCTCGCCTTGAACGCCCTGGTTTCTGACACCGCCGTCTCCGCCAAATGAGGCCCGCTGGTTTGCGCCACCGCCGTGGCCGCCCTAGCCCCTGAGCGTGGCAACCACTTGCGGAGAAAGGATTCCCAGGTCGTCGGGGCGGCCTGGGGGGGCCATCTCGGGCCTGGAGGGCTGTCCGGGTGCAGGCTCGACTGGAGCGCTTTGGTTTCTGACGCCACCGTCTCCGCCAGGTGAGGCCCGCTGGCTTCTGTCACCGCCATCGCCGCCCGAGCCACTGAGCGTGGCACTTCCTTGTGGAGAAAAGATCCCTCGGCCCTCGGGGCGGCCTGGGGGGACACACTCTGGACCTAGAGGGCTGCCCGGGGGCCGCGGCCAGGCCGGCGCCCACATCAACCCCCAGCGGAGCCGACTCGGGCAGAGGGCGTCGCGGCGTGCCTCCAGCTGCCCGCCGGGGTTTCTGACGCAGCCGTCTCCGTGTACCCCGCCGCCGTCTGGGTCTTCAGGGGCACCGTCGCCGTCGTCGCCGCCGTCAGGGGAAGGCGGGCGGATGGGAGCGAAACGGGCTTGACTGACCAGGCGACGGAGTGCCACTTTGTCCGCCGCTCCGCCCGCCTCTTTTCCCAGGAGCGCGGTGCCCCACCAGCCTGCTGGCCCAGCTCTCCGGCTACCGGGCGCAGGGGCAGTGCGAGACTCTCCAGGCAACGGCGGCCGCACGAGCCATCGGCGCGCAGTGCCAAGGCGGCCTCTGGGCAGGCGGCCGCGTCAGGGAGAATCGCGTAGACTTGGCCGTCTGCGGCCCGCGCGCGATCCCCAGGGGCCAGGAGGCACGCCAGTGGCGACGTCTGAGGCCAAGCCGTGCAAATCGCAGGTCACTTCGGCCTCGTGGCGCGTGGTCTCCAGTGTCCAGGGGGCTCAGCCGGGCTCGGGCCTCCTTCCGCGCCCGGCCGAGGGCGACGAGGGGCGCACGGGGCCGCGCGCGGCAGCGGGAGGGGATGGGTCCTCATCGCCAGGGCCCCCCTCCGCGCTGGCTCCGCCCAGGCAGCGCGCTTCCGCGGTCCAGGAGCGCCAGTGCCAGGGGCGCGGGCCGGCACACCTCCAGAGTGGACGGGCGTTTATTTCGCAGCGGGCCTGCGGCGTGGCGACGAGGTTCAGAGGCGTGCCAAGGGGGAGGGGCATCGGAGGGAGCGGCGTCACGACTGCTGCTCTGCTCGGGGGCGCAGGGAGCGATCTGGCTCCGGGTTGGTGTCCTGGCGGGGATCACGCGGGCCTGGCGGTCGGGCTCGGGCCCGGGAGCGAGCTGCGGAGCGAGAGGTGCGAGTCCCCTGGAGCCGGGAGCGGGAGCTGGAGCGCGGGGCTGGCCCATGGCAGGCCGTCAGGAGGGGGGGGGGGGCCCAGGGTTCGACTCGACTCGTCGATCGTTTCGGAGCTTCGCTCGACGTGGGTACCGATCCTCGCGTCGTCGCTCTCGCGGTCCCTGCTGCTCTCGCCGCTCGGGTCGACTCGAGCGCCAGGGCCTCCCGCGTCACCGCCCCGTTCAGCGCCAGGGCCGAGCCGTGGCCTCGCCCCGCGCACGCGACGGCCGGGCCCTCGGGGGAGCCTGCGGGCGGGGCCCGCGCCCGCGGTGGACCCCGAACAGCTTGCTTGCAAGAGATACGTAGCACCCCGCAATTGCGGATAATAGAGTGAGCGGGCGGGCGCGGGGGTCGAGCCGGCGGACCTCGTGGCCCTCACGAATGCAAAAGAAGCCTGGAACGAATGCAAAAGAAGCCCGCCGCAGGCGCCGTTGCGGGTCGCGGGGTGGGTCGCGGGTGGGTCGCGGGTGGGTCGCGGGGTGGGTCGCGGGTGGGTCGCGGGTGGGTCGCGGGTGGGTCGCGGGTGGGTCTCGGGGTGGGTCGCCGGCGGGTCGCGGGTGGGTCGCCGATGCACAAGAAACCCGCCGCAGGCGCCGAAGTTTTGGCTTGTTCAGTGAACGTAGTTTGGATCGCGGGTGGGTCGCGGGCTCTCCACCTCCACCTGGAAGGAATTCAAAAACAGCCTGCCGCAGGTGCCGAACATTTTGAGTTGTACACTGAACGCGGTTTGGGTCGCGGGTAGGTCGCAGGCTCTCCACCTGGAACGACCTGGAACGAATGCAAAAGAAACCCGCCGCAGGCGCCGAAAATTTTGGGTGGGTCGCGGGGTGGGTCGCGGGTGGGTCGCGGGTAGGTCGCGGTGGGTCGCCGGTGGGTCGCGGGTGTGTCGCGGGTGGGTCGCAGGTGGGTCGCGGGGTGGGTCGCGGGTGGGTCGCAGGTGGGTCGCCGGTGCGTCGCGGGTGGGTCGCAGGTGGGTCGCGGGGTGGGTCGCGGGTGGGTCGCGGGTGGGTCGCGGGGTGGGTCGCGGGTGGGTCGCGGGGCGGGTCGCAGGTGGGACGACGACAACAACAAACAACGAGCAATAAACAACAAAGAACAAACAACAAACAACAGACAACAACAACAACAACAACAACAACAACAACAACAACAACAACAACAACAACAACAACAACAACAATCATTTTACCCGAACGCTCAGTGTTCTCACCAGTGCCAGGGTTTTCATGCGACGCGAGACAATACCCCCACTTCGTGGGGGGGCAGTTCAAGCTCTACCAAATATCCAAACGACTCTTCGCGACCACCCAAACCCAGCTTCCCGCCCTATGACGTTGGGACACTTCACTTCGTGGCGTGCGGACGACCGTGGCTACTACACTGGCGTGGGGTACACACCCACAGAACTTGGTCACTTATTCGGGGCGCGCGTGTGCCCAGCATCCTGCAATTGTGACATACAATACATGACACAGACAGACAGAGAGAGAGACAGAGAGCAGACAGAGAGAGAGACAGAGAGAGCGGAGTTGGCCACATTTTTGGGGCAAGTTCCTGAGATCGTCGTGTTTTTTGTTGGTCTTGCGCGCGCGAATGTCCACTTTACTTTTTTTTTGCAAGGGATGTTGAAATTTGATTATGTAAGAACAAGAAAAAGTAGCTCGCGCGAGCTTATGTAACATAAATGTTGAAAAACCATTGGTTTTGTGGGAGTCGGACAGCGCGCGCGGGATGAAATTTGGACATTTTTTTTTGAAAAACCATTGGCTTTTTGATGTTTTTATGTTGAAATCGTTACGAAACCTAAGGTTCTGGAAGGATTTCGTCTTGCGCGCGCGAATGTCCACTTTACCTTATTTTTTGCAAGGGATTATTGAAATTTGATT